GCTTGTAGTTGATTACATCTTAATCAGATTTAGAAACACGGAATGTTTACGCTGGCTTGTAGTTGATTATAATAAAAATACTTACTTCATGCAAAATATGCAAGGAAAAGAAAATTTGGGAACATGCTTTGCAGGCAGTGAGACTTGAACGCAACCTCGGAAAGAATATGTCTGTAAAAAATTCAAATTAAAACTTATTATTTTTAACAAAAAATTCATAAAATATTATTTTAATTTTTTTAAAAAAATATCAAGAATTATCAAAACTTTTGCATATTAATACAAAGTTCATATAACTGGGTCATTTATTTTTTTTAAAAAATATCTTTAAAAAAATTATCATATTATTATTATTATTATTATTATTATTGTCTAATAAGTGATATAACATTATTTTTGTAATTTATTTTAACTTTAAATGATACAAGCCAGGCCAGCGCAAACATTTAATATTATAATCAACTACAAGCCAACGCAAACGTGAAAGCTTAAAAGGAGAGGAAGTAAGAATAAATAAAATGGACATGGACTAAAAATTAATGGACAAAGATAGGCATGGGTTGTGTCATGTAGGCCTATATGTTGTGTTACTTCAACACGTGTTCAAGTGAGTCGGAGTTATATATACCTAAACCCTAGGTTAGGTAAAGCTACCTACACCCCCTTAAAAAACACTGTGTTTATCCCTATCTCCCCACTACCCATTAACCCCCCACTTACTGCAAATTAATCCCCAACCCAGTATTTATATACAATAAAAAAAAATTAAATTATCATTTCAAATTCATTTACTCTCTCTTCAACCTTCCTCTTCGTCATTTTCTTTGCATTTTCTCTCTCATCAAAACCTTCATTCTAGCTGAAAATTACTACAATATACTTCAAATTCTGACATTTGAGAGGAAATTCTTCAATCGCAACAACTATATCTACGAAATTGTAAGTACTTTGTTCATTTTAGAACGAAAAAAATATAAACCCTAGTTTTTCTATAATTTATCTTTTTTGTGATTATATGTTCTCAAAATGTAATCTACTATTATTATACTTATTGTTGCTCAAAATTAATTAAAATCTACTATCATTTGTACTATTTTTGTAGAATGGAGAAGAGTTTCAAAGACCAAAAATAAAGAATGTGACAATATGTAAGTGTTTATAATGTTCGAATATTGGATAGCTGAAACTGAATAAGTTATTAATTTAAAATTACTTATTTGTGAATTAAATTGTTATTCGGTGAATTTCGACTAGTAAATGTAATATATCGTAAATGTTCATTTTAGAAGAACTTCATGTTCATTTATAGAATGATTTGATTACAAAATTGTTGGGCATAAAAACTTGAAAAAGTTTAAATGTCCTACTTTTCTGGATAATTTGATATATTGTAGGATTATAGAATTATAAATTTATATCATAGTGAAAATTATTTTTGATGAATGTTCATTTTCATTTTGATAAATGTTCATTATGATATTAATATATGATCATTCACATTCTTACCTAAGATTAGGGTTCAGTTTTGAGACAAAACTACCCTAGTTTTGTTTATGATCATTCACATGTTCATTCTCATTTTGAAGATATTCACATAGACTATAAAAATACATATTCAACTTCATATTAAATTAATGTATGTTCATGAGCGTCATTTGAATATTATACTACATACATGTTAACTCTAACATTGATAGATGTTTATTTGAATATTGATACAAAGATGTTCATTTGAATATATGTATACTCACACATATATTAATGTATGTTCATTCACATATTAGAAAATGCTCAAAAATAAATCACATATTGTTCATTCATCGTAAACCTTTGATGATTCTATTTTAAAATATAATATAATCTTGTGGTATTTCATTCACATAATATCAATACATATTAAGTGTATTTTGACATATTGGATTATTAATTAATGGTCATTTACACATTAATAGATATTAGTTTGGATTTTGATATATGTTCTTTTTCATATTAATAAATGTTCATTTGGAATTTAATACATGTTCATTTAGATTTTATACTTTTTCATTCTCGTATTAAAAGATTTTTGATTACTTTATAGGGTGTTTATTTTTGAATTCGTAATTGTTATTCATGCGTAAATGTTCAATTTTGAATCCTTAGATTTTATGTACTTTTGTTTGGAATGTGTTAATCGTATTAATTTTTTATAAAAAAAACTTGATCTCTTATTGTACAGGATACTCAAGTAAGGAAGTTGAAGGCGACATATATATTGTGCTCAGATTATATTTTTCACGGAAAATACACAAATATCATATGATTAGAGGTAAAACAAGGGGGATATATCTATAGACACTTTATTATATATACCAAATGTAACAAAGAATGTTCATTTTACAAGACACGTATATTTAAGATTTAATGGTTCACTTTCATGTTTATATAAATAATTACATATAATAGTACATAAATGTATTATTATTGTAATTAAATTAAATAAAATTTATTTTATGTTAAAATTTATTTTTTAACAACGTTTTATTTAAATAAATAGAATTCTAAGACGTATGTATTTGCATACATCTTACTATATTACTTACACATATCTCTTGAAATGAACATTTGATGATACAAAAATGAACATCTGTTGAAACATGAATAAACAAAAATAAATGTTTGATGATGCAATACGACCTATAATTATAATGATTTGAATGCAGTATTCCTTATAAATAGATTTGCTCTCATTTTTATTTATAGAAAATTCTAAAAATACAACAATTCATAAAATATATTAATTTGAACAAAAAAACTCCTTGTTAAAAAAAATGAACATCTAATGATACAAAAATGAACATTTACCAATACATAAATGAACATATTATAAAAATTTAAAGAAAATTCATAAATGAAAAGAGGAGGGCGCGGGCACGCACGGAGGGGGGTGCACACAGTGTTCCCTGCCTCAGGGTGTAGGTAAAAATTTGTAAGTGAGTCGTGTCTAGGTCGGGCCATAAAATAGTCGTGTCGTGTTGTTCTTATGCCATTTTTTCATAAAACGAAGCCATGCACAATCCAATTCACATGTCGTGCCATGCCCTGCCAACATCCCCTCAATAAATTTTATACTCTCTATTTTTGTATTAACTGGTAAAAAATAAGCGTGATGTACCTAAATAGCCCTTGTACTGTGTTAACATCGTCCATTTCCATCTTTAAAGAATATAAAGATCAAGAAGGCTAGGAGGAAACTAAACGACACACCGACCTAACTACTAGTCTGATTCGAATTGGATTGGTTTGACCCGAGAAAATTGGATCCAAACCCATTCAATTTACTAGTCCAAAGTAAAACTGAAATCGGTCAATTGATCTACGGAGTGACTAATATTGTTCAGAGGCTTGAGTGATATTTTTACTAGTGCACTTCATAGTCGTTATTGTTAAGACTTATTGAATTGCTTTACAAAGTTGAAGTGTGTGATAATTAGAGCTGTCAAAAGCTGACCTGACCCGAAATACCGACTCGAACCCGATTATTAACCGACCTGTTTGAACCCGGAAAATGGGTGACCCGAATCCGATATGACTCGACCTGAAACCACCCCTATACCCGAGTTAATCCATGTATTTGAGACCCGAACCCGAACCCGAACATGAACCGACTTGGAGATGACCCCACTTGAATATAACCCGTAAATTATTGACCTAAACCGAACCCGACCTGAACCAAGATTGACCAAACCCGTTTTAACCCGTCCAAACCCGAATTTAACCCGACCTATTATTAACCTGACCAGAATTTAACTCAACCTGTTATTAAACCGACCCGAATTTAACCCGACCTATTACTAACCCGGCCAAATTTTACCCGACCTATTACTAACCCGACTCGAAGATCAATCCAATCTGTTACAAACCCGACCCGAAATCAACACGACTTGTTATTGACCCGACCCAAATTCAACCCGAATTGTTCCTGACCCATTTCGAACTCAACCTAACCTGTTATTGACCTGACTCGATTTCAAATCACCTTAAATTCAATTTCGACTACCTTATTAACATTGATCAAAGTAAAGTTATATACTCCGTAGTTACGTTATCACTGATTATGAATATCTTATCTAAACTTATTTGAACTAAGTAGCTCGAATTTAAACTTATTTGAAATTATATCTCTTACAATAAATGAAGAAATTGATAATGATTAAACGTGAACATCATTAAATGAACTGTTAAAAAACTGACCCAAAAAATGTACCCGTACCCGATATGATCCGACCTGAAATCAACCCGAAACCCAGATTAACCCAATATTTGAGACCCGTCTTGGAAATGACCCGACCTGATTGTATCCCTCAAATTATTGACTTGAACCGAACCCGACTTGAACCCAAGAATGACCTGACTTGGAAATGACCCGACTTGATTATAACCCGCAAATTATTGGCTTGAATAGAGCCCGACTCGAACCCGAGAATGACCCTAACTCGTTTTAACCCGTGAAAACCCGAATTAAACCCGACCTATTATTCACCCTATCTGAATGTAACCCGACCTGTTATTGACCTGACCTAAACTCGACCCAAACCCGATAAGATGTATGACCCGACGTGAACCGACTCAAGCATGACCTAACCCAAACCCGACCTGCATAGATTACGACATTAACCTGAAGTGACCCGACCCGAGTTGACCCGACCCACACTTACCCAACCAAAACCCGACCCATTTACCCGAATGGACAACTCTAGTGATAATAACGGAACATAACAATGATAATCATGCTTTGGAAGTATATTCCTTTGGTATAGTTGGCTTAACCCAAGAAACTTGTATCCAAACTCTGCCTAGAATTAAGATTTAACCATAATATTAAGGAAAAATTCATTTTAATAATTCTAACTTTAAGCGATTTACTTTTAATAATCCCAACTTTAACATCAATTTGCTTTCAGCAGTCCCAACCGGTCAACAAGTGGTCCCTTAATTTAGACAGGCCCACAACTTTAGGCTCTAGTAGCTACAACTTTCTCATTTTCTCCACCTTCACAAGTTCACAACACCCCCATTTTCCCGGCCGAAAAAAATGGCATTCGCAACCAACCCCTTATCTCTAAGCGTCCCAGAACAAGCCTTCGAGTCATGGCTCCGCGACTCCGGCTACCTCGAAATCCTCGACCACCGCACCACCCAACTCCACAGCCTCAACTCCTCCGCACCATCCGCCGCACCAACCACCGCACCATCCGCCGCACCAACCACCGCACCAACCCCATCAACCGCCCCCAGAAGAACCCCAACAACCACAATCACTGCCATAGCTTACGGCCTTATCATGTCCCTCATTTTATCCTTTGCCACCATTTTCTCTCTCCTAACTCTTAACCCTTTTGCTAAACTTACTTCGTCTGATTTTTCTCAGCAGAATTCTCCCTCTTGGACTTCTTCTGGGTTTCTGGGTTCTGTTGATTCTTACTCTTTTCCTTCTTCTTCTACTCAAGCTAGGATGCGTGTACATGAGAATGTTAAGCGTTTTGCTAAGAATTATGCTACGCTTCTTATTCTCTTCTTCGCGTGCTCTTTGTATGTTTCATTTCTTCTCTTTTCTTTTTTTTGTTGTTGTTTTGTTTTAGTAATTGGGTTGCTATCTAATTTGGTTAATTTTGGGAATAATCTGTGTTTGTTGTTAATTTCTGTTGATTTATGCAATTGGGTTGCTTTCTATTTGGGCTAATTTGCTGTAAAATTTCTGTTGATTACTTGATTGGTAATTTCTGTCAATTCTTCAAATTGGGGTTTCATTGATTTCCATTGTATAATGGTAACTTGCACAAAATTTCGGTCAATTGAGAACCTCTACATATGTCTTAATGATTGTTGGGGAGATTGGAAGTAATCTTATTTGGGAATTGAAGGCAACTCTTGTTATTTTCCCTTTTCAACACCAAAATCTGTAATTTAATGACATGTATAATAAATAGGGGATTTCTGTGGTGTGATTATAATTGTTCTACTTGTGGTGGTAAAGTGCTTAGTATGATGTATTAATGAACTATACATGGTTTATGAATTCACCACATTGAACTCTTGATCTAGTTTGATTAATTTGAGTAAACACTCTGTGTTCACATCAATTATGCTGTTCCTGTAGTTTTAGTGTGTAGCCACTTTAATCATGACAGATTTTCTTTAGATTGCTGTTTTCTTATTATTGCTGTTGTTGGATGTTAGGTATCAAATGCCACTTGCTTTGGTCGGCTTGGTATTGTGTTTAGCGACGTGGGAAGTATTTAGGTTCTGTGACAACAGATGGGCACTCAATAGGTTTTCTGCTATTCGGCAAGTTCTAATTCGCGTTGCTCAATGTGGTGAGTTTCTGTGATAAATTTGCTAGAATGTATGACTGTACATTTTAGTCTTTAATTACCAAACTCTATATATTACAAGGAATTTGTATCCAATATTAAGCATACGCAAGTAAACTTACAAAATTCACGCACATAACTGAAAATTTTTGTGGAGGCTTCCTTTTAGAACCATTTACAAAGTGACGGATATGCAGTAGCTTGTTCTGCAGATATGGCATGGCATCCACTTTAGGTTGATTCATTGCTATTGTTTTCCGATTAATAGCAGTCATATATTGTTGAAATTTCTATTAGTTTTGATGACTGGCATTTGTAGTTTTAGATAGATGGCTATCCTTCTTAATGAGTTTTGGGATCCTTATGATGAGCGGAAAATTGAAATTCACTTTCCACGTATTGGCATCTTAAGATGCCAAACAGGACTCTTTAAACCATTGAAAGGAGAATGCTATGAATGGATGATTTTGATATTAGAGGAGAGGGGCTTTTTAGACAGTATTCTTATAGTTAGTTAGGGGAGCTTGGGAAATAAGTTAGAGTTTTTGTTAGGGAAGAAATTCTATAGATTAGAGGAGGTTAGGAAGAAATGCTCTAGATAAGAGGAGATTAGGAAGAAATCATCATGTTGAATATTGTGATGAGTGATTAGCTGTAGTATTGGGAGGGTGTCGTTCCTGTCGAAAGATTGGCAAGGCCGTAATTGGTGATTGGCACCTTGGTTAGCATTAATTCAGTCATATCTTTAATTGTTTCTCCTTAGGGCATGCTTGGATTGAGGGAAATGTATTACTAGGGTAATAAAAGTCAAACTAAGCAAAATGAAAGTAAATAGGGAAGGAGGAGATGGTGATGGAGTGCTTGTAAGAAAAATTATGTAGTGATGGTGAGGTATGAGGTGGAGAAAGAGACTCATTTTGGGGGTAATAGTTACACTAGGGGGAGGGTGCTAGTGTAACTATTACCCTCATTATGAGGGTAATAATTCCTCCATCTCTCTCTTTTTCTCATGGAACAACTACCTTATTTCATTTGTAAACACCTTACCTCCTACAACAACACCTCTAATTACTTATGTTTTTTAAAGTTTGACTTTTTTTACCCCCTTAATGTATTACCCCCAATCCAAGCATGCCCTTAATATCTCTTCTTCCTCCCTTAATCTCTCATTTCAGTCCTTAAACTCTTTGTTTTGGTCACTAATCTGAGCTAATCCACACAGAGAATTATACTCTGTTGGAAGTGTGGGACTTATTTTAGGATGGAGGTAGCATATAGGGTAGTTTCTTTTTCATGTGTGCTTTCGTTCTGAAGCTCTTCAGATTTCTCGTCATAGTGCATAACTATTTTTTCACTGTTTAGTTAGTCTTTTATGCTGGTTATACTTGTACTGTTTCAGAATGGTAGCTGCTATCAATTTGCCTATTATGTTTTTATGGTTTATCAATGTATTTAGATTTTAGAACCACCTTTTCTAGTATTATAGACCATTTTGATACCAACAATTTCTCTCATAAGGTAAAGCTGTTCTCTGGTTATATGGAGGTGTGTCAGAAAAATGAATAGGACAAATAGGTGCTGTTACACACTTAAACTTACAAGTCGTGCTGCATATGAATCTTGGGAGGTGTCCCATGGTAGATTGATCCATACCCTAATTTCTTGCATTGTGTTGCACTTGGTTTGCAAGCTCAACCTCTTTTCAATGAGATGAAACTGTGTGAGGTCTGTGAGCTTTGGAAAAACATTATGAATGGCTCCTTATCTGCTGTATATAGTGGTTGTAACTTGTAAGTTCTAATGAACTACATACTAAAAATGCATTTTTGTGCCTTGCAGCAGTTGCAGTCATTTTATTCTGGTCCAATGTTCAGATGGCAGTCTTCTTCACGCTAGGAGTTGGTTACATAGGTACGCATTAGCTCTCTGGTACTGGTTGTCTCTTTTACAGTAGAGGTTAAACTCTTTTTTTTTTTTTTTTTTTTTTTTTTTTTCTGATTTATTTATCTGCTTCTGTATTCAGTTATGATGTTACATGCTTCTTTTCGCAAGCTTACTCCTGCCAAGCAACTTTGGAAAGGAAGAAGGAGATGAGGATCTCACCAATCGACAATCTTGGATTTTTTCGTCATCCCATCTTTGTATATATAATTGCTTCAAAAATTGAAGCTCCTAATTTTGACAGTATTGTGAAAATAGCCCACTCACCTGTAGAACTCTGCTAGTTGCTGAATTCAGTTTAAGTTAAGCTTTCGATAACAAGCTGTGAAACAACCTTGGATGAAGTACAAGGCTAATCAGTAATCTCACTGCTGAAATTGTTATTTCTATTCCTATGGGGTGTTAGGGTTTAATGATAATGAATTAATAATAGGAAGTTAAGTGATGAACTACCTATTTTTGTACAGTTTTTCCGAAACAAACAACATTTATGAGTATGGTGTACTTTTTTGGAAAAAAAAAAATGCTGTTTTTTTTTTTTTTTTTTTGGAGGAAAAAAAAAATGAAGATACTTATAATCTACTTAGACTACTATTAACAACATGGTACTCCGAGGGTGAGAGATAGCTCAAGTGGTTAGAGCTTCCTTCCCGATCCAGAAGGTCCTGTGATCGATTCTCGCCACCCGCCCCCATTCCACAATCACTACTATCTTGGAACCTTGTCCTCTAACGGTCCTCATATCCAACTAGCACTATAACCACATTGAAGATGTCAACTTTTTGGTTAATTTAATTTGGCCATAGGAGTCCCCCCTTAGGAGCTACATGTGATTGTTTGAATCATGTTCGTGTTGCTTCAAAATTTACAAACTTGTAAGATGAAACATGTAACAAAAGCACATTATCAAATTGAATAGACAATATACAAATAAGGCTTGAACTAGTGGTAAAGGTTTGAGCTCATAACTTTTAAGATCATTGAATTCAATCTCATTAAGGTCTTTTTCGGGATAAGGTTTTTTCCTTATCCTTTCCCTTCACTCCCAATGAATGTGACCTTTAAAACTGGATTGAATTGACCTGTAAGAGGTGTTAATTCGATAGGGTCATTTTTCTTATCATTTAAAAAAATTTAAATGGACAACATTGTGTGGCAAAGTTGACAAATACTCCCTTCGTTTTTAAATACATGCTCCATTTCTCTATGCGCGGAATTTTATGAGAAATTAGAGAAAGTAATAAAATATGGAAGTAGTGGGGTTAATGGAAGGTAAATTAAAGGAGAGAAAATATAAAAGTAATAAAATATAATTCTATTGGGTCCCACTGGTTGAGAAAAAGAAATTAAATATTGTAAGTTAATAAAACAAGTATTTAAAAACGGCGAAAATGAAAAGTGGAACAAGTATTTAAAAACGGATGGAGTAATAATTTGGCATACTCCGTATATTTCAACTCATGTCATATCGACATATCGTATGTACATTTCCCATGAATCAAATATACCCTTTGGGTTAAAAAAAAAAAACTGTCTACTTCTTCCAAATAGGAAATTTACATAGTCAAAAAATTCACCAAGTAAAAACAAACCCAAAAAAAAAAAAAAAGAGGTTTCGTTCAATTTCATCTTGTCTATTGCCAGCTTCGTTTGTTCTCCTAGGAGGAGAGAGAAAATAAACACAAATATCCATGGCTTCTTCTTCTTCATCTTCTTCCTCTCTACTTCTCCATTAACCCACTTCACTACTTCTTCATCGATCGCTTTTTCATCTTTACTTTTTTGGTTTGGTAATTCTTCAATTTTGTTATTCAATCAGGTAATTGTTGTTTATTTTCATTTCAATTTTCAAATTTTCCGGTGTAGATTTTTGTTGAAAACCCTAGGATTTCATTGAATTATACGGATTATTGTTGGAGTTTCCCTTTCAATTTCGTTGTATTGTGTAAGTTATAGTTTGATTTTTTAATTTTTTGATTTGTTGGTGTGTCGCATTTCTTTGTATTTTGATGTGTAACTATTTCTAGTCTTTACGCATTGTTGTTGGCTTTTGATTTTTGGGTGTTTATAAGCTTGATTTTTATGGAATTTGGGTTGTGTAATTTGCAGATTTCGGTGTTAGAGAGAGAAGAGTACATTGTGGGATTATTTTTTGTAGATTTAGGGTGTTGGGAATTAGGGGATGGATGTTTGTGTTGATGAATGTGATGATTGTGAAGATGTATGATTGAAGGAAGTAGGGTGTCAGTTGAATTGCAAGCAGGGTGAGGAGTTTCGGTTGGAATGGCAGATGTGGCGGCGTTTATTGAAGCTGCTGGGTCGAGATTTGGCGATTTGGAGCTGATTGGAAGAGGTTCATTCGGTGACGTCTATAAAGGGTATGAACCTAATTGTTTTGCAGCTTGTAAATAAGTTGTTGATAGTCTTATTACTTGTAGCATTACCCTTTAGTTTGCAGTTAAGTAACATTGTTGGATGCAACTTTTTTTATGAAAGTTTAAGTGGCATTCTAATAATCTTCACTTTTTATAATTGTTTCTAATGTTGATTAGTAAGAAGCAATCTGGTTGATTAGGTTTAAACTCTTTGATGCAATATGTTTTTATAGTTCCATACTGTATTGATTGGTTGCAAGAAAAGGCGTATCTATAGTTTACTTCCCAGCCTCTTGATGCCTCTATCTGCGCTGAAGTGTTAGTTGTTTAGAAATGGAAGAACCTTTACACTATAAGTACCATTTTATTGACTTTTAGATTTATTATTTGTTCTGCTGGATGTATGATATTATGATAGTAACAGAAGTAGTATGTAAATCCTATACAATTAATTTAAGTATGTGTAAGTTGCAATTTAGTTTAATAAGCCTGGTGTTTTAAACTGCTAATATCTTTTGATCTTTTGCAATGATTATCTATCATCTGTTGCTTTCTTATTTTTTGCAGCTTTGACAAGGAGCTCAATAAAGTAGTTGCAATTAAAGTTATTGACCTTGAGGAATCGTGAGTCTTCTTTCACTTCTCTTATGTGAAGTTTTTTAGCATCATTATAGCTTTGGCTATTCGTTTTAATTGCTAAGCTTGAGATACTCTCCTTTTTTGCTATAGCTAGTTGATAACTGAATTGTACATTGTGTTGCTTTGGTTGTCATAATAGTTTTGGAATTTCAGTGTCATTGATATGACAATTTGTTGTTTGTCTTGCAAAGATCGAATGAGGTGATATAATGCACTTTGTCATCTAGATCTTAATATTTCTGCAAATATCATTAGAAACGATCCATGGCAGCCATCAATTGTTTGTATATTTATATTGTGGGCAATAGTGCAAAGTAAATGATTAGTTACCGGAAGGTGATTCAATATTGACCTTACTCTCTTTATTTCCTAAATGGCCAGAAATTTAAAGGTACTATCATCAGTAGGAATATGGGAATTTGATCATTTTCTTTTTCTATGTCATTTTCTTAATCGTGGATATGGTATTGATCATTTGGTGTTTTAATGTTTAATATTTTCAATCATAGGTGCTTGGACACAGCCCTTAACCCTGAAGGATTTGATTATTACGCATTATTTCAATTGAGAAGAAATAGTTGGAGTTATTACTCATTATGTGTGCTAAAATAGGGGCCTTTATGTTTGTTGGATTTATCTGACTCAGCTACCTTCTCAACTTCCCTCAAACCTTTAATACTCTGTACTTTTTAACAAGGGCGGGGCAAAGTTTAGCAGGCCCTGTGTGATTTCATAAAATAGACCCTTTTCAAGTCCAAAGAACATTACGGTAATAATATTCTGAATTTCTAATTAACTTCTAATCTACAAACCCAAAAAAAAAATAAAAAAAATAAAATGAAATACCGTATAAAGAATTGGAGTAGGACTTTGGAGTCTCATGGCTTGAAGGTTAGCAGAGTATTTGGAATGTAAGTTTAGGGGTGGGTGGGAAACAATGAGGCAGGGGTGATCACCTTGGATGGGAAGAGTGTTCAAAGTTGTGAGGTCTTCCGATATGTGGGATCCATTAATTCAAAAGGATGGAGAATTGGATGAAGATGTAGCTCATAGGATCAAAGCGGGTTGGTTGAAGTGGAAGAGTGCGACGATTTTATGTGATCCAGCCGTACCCCATAGATTAAAGGGGAAATTCTACCGAACGTCAATAAGATCTGCTTTGCTATATGGTACCAAATGTTGGGCCATAAAACATTGCTACGTGCATAAGATGAATGTGGCGGAGATGCGCATGTTGCGATGGATGTGTGGTCATACAAGAAAGGATCGGTTGAGGAATGAGATAATAAGGAAGAAAGTAGGGGTTACTTCGATTGAGTACAAGATGAGGGAGAATCGCTTAAGATGGTTTAACCATGTAAAAAGGAGACCAAGTGATGTTGTGGTAAGGAGGCTTGAAGAATTGCAAAGTGTTGGGATTGCGAGAGGTAGGGGAAGACCTAAGAAAACTTGGAGGAGGGTGATTGTGAGTGACATGAGCGCTTTGGGGATTCGGGAAAATATGGTGTTGGATAGGGCTGTGTGGAGGGAGAAAATTCACGTCAACGACGTGTCGTGATTATATATACTTTCTAAATTTATTTTTGTATTTAATTTTGTTTTTAGCCCACCAATGTTTTATGAACTGTATTGTTTTCTTTTACTAAAGTTTTGTCAAACCTTTATGTTTTCTACTTCAACGTTTTAACCACTCTTTTAAAACTTTCTTGAATTTTATTTTTGGTTCCCTTTAAAACTCCCTTAATTTTTTCTTAAATGGTATGTCGTTTACTCACTTTACTCACCTTTTTTTCAAACTCTTTTAAATGATTATTTTGTTAGTCTTTTTCTTTATATCGTACGATTCCTTATGACGATTCATGTAAGCCGACCCCAAATCATTTTAGGACTAAGGTTTTGTTGTTGTTGTTGTTGTTGTATAAAGAAAGGGAGAAAAGATACCGCCAGTATTATTGCAAAGCCAAGGATTAAACAATTGTTAACCTTTGATGCAAATTGAATTTTATACGAAGTAATTAGTTAAAGCAAAAAAATCTAATCTAATTTAATTTTAGATAATTTGATGATTAGATCTTAGAGCAAAGAGGGTTGTGCTAAACAAAGCCTTTGTTAGGATAGTTTTTAGGAACTTATAAGCTTTTGGCCTGTAATATGCTTTTGGAAGAGTATGATGTTGGAATCCTGGTTCATTGTAATGCCCTCAAGATAGAGATTTCAAAATTTTGGTCTGATACCTTGGATGAAAGCTACTTTTAAGACTTTAGGAGGAATCTTATGTAAGAGTGCTTAAATGCCAAGTTGCTTGAGTGGTTTTAATAGTTAATACTTGTGGAAAATGTAGCTGGTTTACCTTTTATTTTTTATTTTTTATGGGTGCGTGGTACTTTGATGATATTCTTTCTTCTGTTCTATTCATTAATTTTGTTTCACTAATGAAAAGGCTTATGATTACACGGAATAATCAAATTTGGTTCATGTAGCCGACCCCACTTATGGGATTAAGGCTTTGATTGATTGATTAATGAAAATGCCTAGATGGGAAATTTTGCTGCTTTTTGCTGCATAATTAAAATTTCATACTACCCGTTAACTATGTTTCCTTTTTAATGTATATTGCTTTAGCAACCATTTCAATTTTTATCCTATATTCTGCTCTATATTTCACAAATTGATTTTTCCCTCTTATATTTTGATGTTCAGCGAAGATGATATTGAAGACATTCAGAAGGTATGGTGGCAACTACATTGTTGTTGCATCACTTTTTTAATATTTTATCTTATCATATTTTTTTACAAAGCAGGAAATTTCAGTTCTGTCACAATGCCGCTCACAGTATATCACTGAGTACTATGGTTCTTATCTCCATCAAACAAAATTATGGATAATAATGGAGTATATGGCTGGTGGCTCAGTTGCTGATTTAGTAAGTTACTTTTATATGTTTCATTGTTTCTTGCTTCATGATCTCTTCTTCTCTTTTCTAGTTCATATTTATCCATGTTGTTGAGCTCACAATATGTTAAATAAGTTATGTTAGAGTTATTGCAATGATGGGCATGCATTATTTGCCTATATAAATTTAAACAAGCAAGTGCATGCCCCTTTATACAGTTGCAGTCCGTATAGATGTCGTTGTGGTCAGATGTTTCTGTGATTTAGGTTTAATTTTTCATCTTCTTTGAAATTCTTTGTTGCTTCAGCTTTCTAATTGACTGTTAGTTGTACATGCACACTAATCATAGGTAAGAATGATAATAAAAGCTACTTTTGCAAATAAAATACAGGTATGAGGCTCAAATAAAACAAGTTTGAGCACCAGTAATGATGGAAAACGAAGAGCTTTTAGCTGGTAGGCAGCCTTCCATTTGCAATTTTTCTTTCAAACCCAGGGAGTCACTTTTAATATATTGAAGAAAATTTGGGGAGGCTTCTACATTGAGCAGATTGCTTTTGATTTTTTTTTGGAGCTAAGGTCAATTTTTAATTTTGAGAAATATACCTTTGAGCAATTTTTTAACTCCCCTGGTCCTGAACTTATTGTCCTCCTAGTCTTGGGCATGCCTATCTAGTGTAAGTAATAGGGCTGTATAGGTGTTGGGTGAGGTTGTTTAAGAAAGAATAGAGAAGATCGAATTGCGGGAGAGATTCCATAGGGGTCCTTTCATCACCTTGTTAACATTTTAATTTCTTGTTACTTGGGCATGTTCCCAGGAAAAAGATACATGAGAGAGAGAGAGAGAGAGAGAGAGAGAGAGAGAGGGAAGGAGTGGTGGATTGGGTAAGGTAAATTTCCATCTATGGCACTCCCTCCGTCCCGTTTTGATGTGCCTGTTTTCCTAATCGGGCGTCCCAAAATGATGTGCATATCTCTAAAAATAGTCCATAATCATTACTTACTTTTTATCTTTCCAATACAAAATACACATATACCCAAAAAATCATTACTTACTTTTTATCTTTCCCAAACAATATTCTCTACTCTCTATTATTCCCATAAAATTTCCTCTACTTTTCATCTTTCCCATAAAATATTCTTCTACTCCCTCTATTCTTCTTAATTAACCGTGAAATTTGAGAAACGAGCACATCAATACGGGATGGAGGGAATAACAAGTTTTAGGGGCTGGTCACAGTGGTTAGGATAGTATGCACTATACTTGGGATAATTAGGAATAACATTTAATTAATGGAATGGAGAGGGTATTATTTAAATTTTCCACAAGAATTACTGCATTATTTGCAGTGTTGATCTATTATTACTGCATTTATACACACACCCCTCTTCCCCAACCCTCCCCTTTTTAAAAACTTGGTAAGATTTTGATTAATCAACCTATTTCACAGTTTACCATGCGCCTTAAGAGAATAGTGGCACCCTTGTTGTGTTCACCCTCTGTGCCTTGTGTGCTTCAGCATCTGTGGTGTGCGTTTAGCTCGCCTTTTAGTACACAGCTTTCAACCTGACTCAAGGTTAACTGATTTTTTTTTGTTTTCCACTATTTGGCTTCAAATTGACCTGTAGCATTGGGAACCAACATCAATTGTTGGACTTAGTTTGTAGGTTGCATGTGCCCCGTGTGGGTCCCTTTCACTTCCCTTTGCGTACATGAAATATACATCGTTGTTCTGTAGATGTGCTTATTTTACACTGTAATTTGCTCCCGAATTTGAGTTTATGTGTCAATCTTTCTCTGTTATTTTTGTCACACCTCAGCTTCTGAAGCATATTTGTTACACCTCACTTCCCTTTATGTACATGGAATTTTCCATTTTATGTTGTACCTTAGGTTTTATATTTATTTATTTATTTTTTTTTTAAACTAACTCTCACATCTTTGGCATTTTCCTAAACAATGCAGAACTTGAAAATTTTCTTTCTTTTTTTATTTGTCCTCTTTACTGACGGCTTTGAAATCAGTTTTGAATAATGTTACTATGAATTTTTTTGTTTAACTCACTGTAGATATGTAGTTTTAGAAAATGCCTATAAAGATGGGTGGGTGTAAGATAAAGAGAAAGATTGTAGAAAGATGTAAATATTGTGGGGGTAACAGGGGTGTGGTGGTAAGATAGTGTGCCAAAAATGAAACAAAATGAAGGGAGTAGAATAATATTAATAAAGATTAAAAAAATCAGAGGAAGTATTTTAAATTACAAAAAAAAAAAAAAAAAAAAAAAAAAAAATCCCTTCCCTTCTTACTCCTATGTTTCCTTAGATTCCCCTCTCTCCTCGCCATTGCCCCCCCCCCCCCCCTCTTTGCTTCTTTAATGAACCTTCCCATCTCCCACTCCCTGATGCAGCTTTTTTTGATATCATTTCGGATATCCAATGTGTGACTGGAAGGGCCCTCGTTGCAGCAAACTTTTTCCTTTATGAATTACTTAAAAATTCAATCCCATTACCACTTGTAAGGAAATAGGAGAATTAATTTTTATACTTCGTATTATTAGTTTTTTAAAATTAAGTCATGAAAGTGTTTATATTTACAAAACACACATTTTCAAATAGTTCATATCGTCAGCTTTCTAACTGTCATAAGGTCAATATAGTAGGAAAATTTTAAGTTTATGGCTATTTTGGAGGATGTGGTAAGTTATGTTTTAAGTGGGCCTACGAGGTTACCATTGATTTTTTCCCATTTATTATTTGGTATATTGGATAGGGTCATTAGAATAATCACAGGGGGTTAAACTTTGAAGTGAATGATACTTTATGGTATCTAACTATTGGTTGGCTGAGGGTACAAATTCTTGTAGTGGGGTTTCCTCTCGCTGGTCTGTTTGTTGATTTTGCTTTTGTTACTATCATCAGGTTTATGACTTGTTCTTCCTATTGAAACATACTTTGTTTGGCTGCTAATTAAATAATGCTTCTGCAGCTGCAGTCAGGTCCCCCTCTTGATGAAATATCAATAGCCTGCATCTTACGTGACTTACTGCATGCTATTGATTATCTTCATGCTGAAGGAAAAATACACAGAGATATTAAAGGTTAGTGCTCTGTTAATTGCATTTGATCTTTATTTACTCCTATTTCCTCAAAATTTTTCCCTAAGCTTTTTTTCAAATATATTCTCATGTAATTCATAGATTTATTATTTCTACTAGTTAGGGACCTGATGCTTGTGCATTTTCCTCGCTATATGTTGTAATAAAGTGGTGATTTTGATTTTGCAGCGGCAAATATATTGCTGACTGAGAATGGTGATGTTAAGGTATCACTTCTCAGATACTTGTAGTTGTTCAATGGCTTTGTTCTGTCACAGAGTACCTGATCCAATTAATTTTTACTTTCTTATGCTTCTTTTGTTTCTTTAGGTTGCAGATTTTGGTGTTTCTGCTCAATTGACTAAGACTATATCACGGAGAAAGGTATCATGTACTGTAGATCATGGCTCACTAATTACTAACCTCGGTATAATCATTCAGCTGATTTCTGCCTGCCCGCTGATAGTGGCTAATTTGCTATGACACTTAATAAAGTACTATCCAGTGCAAGAGTTTTAGGAGATAAAGCTGTGGTTAACTTATCTATTGTTACTCACATAGAGTACAAGCAATAGCATACAAAACAGCTTTATGGTTTACCCTCCTCCGTCCCACATTTGTTTGAACTCTTGTCAGTGCAAGAGTTTTAGGAGATATGATGTGGTTGAATCATCTATTGTTATTTTATGGAAAAGTATATTTGATGGAAGTTAGTGGGGTATTTGTATTATTGCATAAATGAGATAATAGACGTGAAAGCAGATACTGAGTCCAAACAGAGGGATTTGTAATAATAAAGAAGTTTGTGGGACCTTGAAAGAAAGGAAAGTATTAAAATTATTATGGGGAAGATTGAAAAAGGAAGTATACGATTTATTTGGTACAGAGAAACTACTAGTTTACAGTAGAAATATCTGTTTGTATCGTAAAGGCATCAGATTGACTTTCAGCAGTAGTTAGGGGAATTGTTAGTATAAGTAATTTGAGGGGTTTATAATATCTGGATGTGTTTGATATGTACATGTCATATTTTCATATCATCTGGTACTCTGGTAGCATAATATTCAGGAAGTCTTTTGGGAAGCCACTTTGGTTGGTACTTGCTATGAACCCATTTAGTTATTACATGTATACGCACACATTTGCTTAATTGGTACACTCTCGCATACTCTCACATCCACACACTCTGTCATACCCATATACTTCCTCCACTCTCTTTTGATTGTAACGTTGAGCTTTTTACGCTTGCCAATCCATGTCTTATACCAGTAATATCTTTAATGATGTTTTGTAACCATATATCAAGACGAATTTAACACTGGACAAACAGATTTGCTTTCATCCAGCAAGATCCCTCATTACTACTCTCTCCGTTTTTTTTAAGTGTCCCATTAGGGTGTGCGCGGAGTTTTAGGCAAAAGAGTAAAATAATATAAGTGGGTATGGTTAGGAATAAAAAACTTGGAAAAGTAAGAGAGAGAAATATAAATGGGGGACCGCTAGGTATATAATGTGAGAGGGAGAAATATTATTAAATGATGGTGGGTTCAAAAGGAAGAAAAAGATATAATATATAATGTGAATGGGGTTTCTAATTTGGTAATGGGGCACTTAAATAAAAAGGCCGTTTTTGGAAAGTGGGGCACTTAAAAAAAACTGAGGGAGTATGTTTTTCCTAACATATAAATCACAAAAGATGGTCAAAAGAGTGTGTGAATAGTGAAAAAGTCCAACATTGTGATTGAAAGAGAATTGGGGAACCTTTTTTTTTTTTTTTTTTTTTTTTACAAAAAAAAAAAACATAAAACATGTATCTGCAAAGCATCTTTGTATATAACTTTGCCATATTAAATTCAACTTTACAGATTTTCCAGTGGATTTATGGCCTACTTTGGTGGAAATACACGTATATTGTCCTGTACACTTATTATATAAGCATTTCAAGCCATGGAACCCTAGGTATCATGACTTTAAATGCTTGTATTGTGACTTCACATCCAAATGCCCAGATCTTTCAGGAGAATCATGGCTTGTAATGATGAATATGCAGTATCAGTGTTTCAAGTATTACCTTAATCACGATTTGCATAGACTCACAAGGGTTAATTGGCATTTTAAATCATAATAGGCAAAGGTTTGGGTGACATAAATAAAGTAAATAATTGACTATGTTCCATGAATATACTTTATATACTAGTTGGTTCTTCTCAAACTGTCTAATAATAGTATTATGTAGGTGGTAGCCCGTAGATGTTCCCTGTAATGAAAACATGATACGGATTGAGGCCATATATATATATAAGCAAAAATAGTATATAGAGTAAGTGTTTCAAGTAGTTTAAGTTGGAATTAGTGTTTAAGGTGCTCTTCTCCTTTTTTTTAAAAACCCAATACCGTGGTTCTGAGAAAAAGTTAAGCTAGTTGGGCATCAAGATTATTAGAGGGGTCAGACTAGTTAAGCAAGTTCTAGAAGCTTTTGTTCAGGGGTCGGATAATTGATTTGATTGTGATTTGAAGCCGTAATTGTGTGTCCTGATTTTAAATTCCTAAGCGATAGGTTTTAATAGAGCCTTTAGTTGATCTCAGTATATGAAATTGTTTTTTTTCTTTTTTTTGACGGGATATGAAATTTTTTGTTAGTGAACCTAGGGCTGTCTTCTATTTGTATTAAATTAAATCCAAGCCAAGCCAAATTACTACAAAGTAATCTGGAGTGGGTTTATATATGTATTTTTTTTTAAAGATTAGATGGGATGGAATTGAAACTTTTTTGAAAATTGACCATTTTTGTTTTTTGGGTCTTTTTTGTAAATACTTAATTTTAAAATTTTATACACCCTATATCCTAGATTATTTGTAACATTTTAAATGGACTCGCATGCCAATGCACAACTTTGATTGTCAACTTCTTTTATTATATATTAGAAAAATTATAAAAATGTTAATATTTGTATAATGCGAAGTACATATATATCAAGACAGACTCAACATCTTACATACTAACATTTGATTTATATATTAGCTAAAAATTGTGGTCAAACTGAGGTGTGTGAATAGTGCAAAAAATCAATATCTTGTGAGCAATTTGGGATGAAACTCACAGAAGGAGTAATATTCTAAGAATATTTGTTATTTGTAGTTAGTGTTGATCTACATTTTCTTAATCTTCTAAGACCAACATTTTGTGATTATGGGCCAGTTTGGGGTTTATTTTTCTTCTTCTTATTAACTTGTAATAAAAATCATGGATCACAAGCTAGTATGCAAAAAAAAAAAAAAAAAAAAAAAAAAGGCTCTCTTAATTTGGTTTTTTGTACTGAATTTTATTTTAGATTGGATTAGACTGGGCCTAATTCCAACCCGAACTGAACACTTAGTAGATGTCCTTAAGTGGGCTTTTGGTTCGCGGAATGGAATGGGGGCTAGAGCCGGGAATGAATACATGATGGTTTGGGTTTGGATTTTGTTTTTGGACATGGGATCTTTTTTCTATTTTTATTATTTGAAACTTATAATTGGTATGAGCCCCCCCCCAAAGTTTCTAAACCCAATAGCTTGGAGGTTGGAGATAGGGTCTAAAATTCTTTAAACCATCAACCAAACATATGGTATAGGCTTTAAACCATTCTAAACTCATATCTCATACCAAGACTTATTGATTCAAAGACTCGCTTAGGGGGTGTTTGGTTCGCATTATTTTGGAATGAGGTAAACACATACCTAGTGTTTGTTTAAGGGGGGAGGTGGATATGGCTTATACCATAAATGCCATTCCCTAACAAAATCAAACACATAATAGAATCAAGTTCCAACCTATACCCACACCTGAACCAAACACCTCCTAAGTGAACTAATTATATATTTCCACCTTTTTTCTTGCTTTATACTTTTTTTTTTTATTATTATTATTTTTTTTAATCAGCAATATAGAGAACAAAAAGGTTTCAGTGGAAACTCGTGCATCTTAGAGGTTTCATAATTGCCACCCCTTCATGTTTGCAATTTGAGGACATTCTTCTGCTTTCATAAAAGCATATTGTTTAAATCAGCTCGGATTTTGCATGTTTATTACTTTATTTTTTTAGATAACCCCTTGTGTTAGTTGTTTTTTGGGTTGTATATGTTGATTAATTATCTTTTTAAATGTTTTTGTTGGTAGACATTTGTTGGAACTCCATTTTGGATGGCTCCAGAGGTAATACAGAACTCTGAAGGCTACAATGAAAAGGTTAACATCATAGATTCACTTCGCTTGATGTATTATTTTTTTTCTATTGTTTGTATATATCTGCAACCTGCTCACGCGTACACTATTTGTTTTTCTTCATTTGTCTCCTCTTTTTTCTAGATTTTCCATCCATCTCTTAAATACTTGCCATCTTACGTCCAGCTTGACTTAATTTTGGTATTTTTTTTATGTAGGCGGATATTTGGTCCATGGGTATTACTGCAATTGAAATGGCAAAAGGAGAGCCTCCCCTTGCTGATCTCCATCCCATGAGAGTTCTTTTTATAATACCTCGGGAAAACCCACCTCAGGTTGGCCAGTGTCTTTTAACTATATGAATGTATTAGATAATTTTACTAAATTACTTCCTCTTCCCCAATTTTTAGTCCTTTCTGTCTGGATATCACAAAATGTAGTACATACGGAGTAAGAATTAATGTTAAATATGTTTTGTACTACCTGAAGTGCCTATGGTTTTTTTTTTTTTTTTTTTTTGGTGCGGACTAGAAATGCATGTGGGCTTATTTGTATTTAACCATCTGTTATATGATTTTGACTTGCAATTCTCTTTTTCTATTAAAACATTGGGTTTTTCACAATGGACTAAAATATTGATGAAGGTTTTTTTCTTTTTTTTTTTTTTTTGTGGTGTGTTTGGAGATTTACAAAGTTTAATCTTTATGTTTCTGATGCACAGCTGGATGAACATTTCTCTCGTCCCATGAAAGAATTTGTTTCTTTGTGTTTGCGGAAAGTTCCTGCTGAGGCAAGTTCCTTTGAGCACCGGATACTTTCTGTTGGGCTTAGCTTTTGATATATTTCTATATTCTAAGAATTTATTTATTGGTGAGTCGGGTAACAATTGCTGATTGCTCTTCCCCTTTTGATGCCAGAGGCCTAGTGCCAAAGAACTATTAAAGCACAGGTTTATTAGAAATCCCAGGAGAAGTCCCAGGCTCCTTGAAAGAATAAGGTGTGTTTAACAATTTATGCTGTATGAGTTTATATATTTTACAAGGTTCCTTCCTGTACCATTCTAACTCATTAAGCTAGACATGGAATCATATTAAATGAATCTGGTAATCTGATGTGCTTTGCTTGGGCGGTACATTAATTAACTTTTGTTTTGTTGTTGTAGAGAACGTCCAAAATATCTTGTAAAGGATGATATTGAAAATGTTAGAAATGGTCTCAGAGCTTTTGCTGAAGGATCCGGCACTGTTAAGGTGACCAAAGAGCCAAGAAAAGATGAAACTGTCCGAGCAAGGTGGTCTGAATGTTTAGGTTATGAACTTTGACTTTTTCAGTGTACCAGTTGACTGACTTTGATTACCTCAGTAATCAGGGAAAAACATTAAGGAATGCGGGATGGGACTTCAGTATTGGAGGATCACAGAGTGCTGGAACAGTTCGAAGCGCAGTGAGACTACCTCCAGTGAGGGCAAAACGTGAAGAAAGTTTAAATAATGACGCTAGTCCAAGAAAAACTTCTGATGGCGACAACCAATGGATATCTGCATCAGGAAATGGACTGTATGAATCATCAGAAGTTTCCCTTGGGAGATACTCCAGAGACGACGAAAAACAGAATAATTTTCATGAATATGTATGGCAGCTACTCTCTTTTCATCACCCACTTTTTTCTATTCTATAATTATGTTTTCTCTGGTTGCTTGAAGCTAATATGAAAGGTCAATGAGATTTTGCCTTCCAATGCAACTGGAATGTGTTCTGGGATTTGGCACTCAGATAGTCAGATATATAGATGTACTGATTCAGTTGTTCGAACTCACTTTTGGTCAAATTTAATAATAATTCTAAGTGTTTAATGCTCTGTCTGTATCATTGTGTCCATGGAAAAGCACTTTGAGAAGGTTTTTGACTTTTTTTTTTCATAGATTGATACCTCTTACAGTTGTTTCTGTTTGTCTTAAATTGATGTTAGTACTGGCCTCAATTCCTCAAATTGTTGTTGGATCTCCAAATGAAGTTTACACTTTTTTAATGAATTTTATGGAGCTTTGTTCCTCTGAATTAGATGTCCATTGATTCCTGCAGCAAATGGTTCAGGAATTGGAGTCTAGATATTTTCTATAACTAAGATTAAAATACCCTATTTTGATGAATTAGTCATCAAAGTAAGAGTCTACATAGTTGTGCCTTTGATGATTGAAATGATGTAAAGGTGTGAGAAGGCAATATTAAAAGCTCCCTGCAGTTATGTTTAATCTTTTTTAGAATTGAGTAGAGTTCCATATGATTATGGGTTCTATGTGTGATTTCACCTCCTGTTTTGCCGTGTCATCATACAGTGTTAATGCACCTTTTTTACAGGAAGATGGGTCTTCTACTGGATCAGGGACTGTTGTTGTACGATCTTCTGGAGTACCCCAGTCATCTTCATTTTGCAGTGATCAAAGCACTACTCCTGTAATATTGTCATTCTTTATAAGTGTTAAATTATCAGTTTTTTCTCTTGTACTTATCAGAGAATAAAATTTCTTTTTCCCATCATCATGCAGTCTGGCAGCACATATGCGTCTCCTGAGGATGCCTCCACTAGCGGGACTATGGTTGTCCATGGTCAACGTGATGACCCAGAATCTCCTCAAACTCCTAAGTCAAAACTTGGGATGCCAGAAAGAAGTTCTACCTCCTCTTTTGAAGACAGTGCTACTAACTTGTCTGAGGTTGGCTTTATTTATCATTTAAGGCTCATGTAATACATTTAATTGTATATCATTTAGTGCATTTGATACATATTATCAAAAGAAGCATGTCACTTTGAACCTATGCATTTTTGTAAATTTATAGTTTACTTTTCAGGAATTAGTTTTTGATGATTTTTTTTTTTTTTTTTACTGCTCTCTTGGCTTACAGCCTGATCTTTTGTTGTTTCTTAGGCAAGGGCAGCCATGCAAAAAGGTTTGCGGAAAGGTTTTTCTCGGGAAAGGCCTGCTGTAAACAAAGCCAGTAGAGATACCCAAGAAAATAGACGAACCGATCAAATGTCGAATAGTTCCGAATCTCCTAGGTACTGCTGATAGTTACTGATTTTTAATTTAGCTAGTGTGACTGAATTCTTACCACTATCATCTCTGTTGTAGCAGTCGAGAATACCTAGATGCTCAGAAAGCTTTCTTGAGGTCACATCTAACAAGTGATGATGAGGAAAATGCAAAAATCTCTGTAGTGACATCATCTGCTTCATTATCTACTCTGCTCATCCCTTCATTGAAGGAGGTTGGTTCAGCTTACATATTTAATTTTTTCTATTGTCATTATCCGCTTTGGTGATTGTTTAAGTGTCCATTTACTGTGCGCCTGAAAGTGATCTGGCTAAATTTCAGCCAACTGTGGGTTACAGGCTTACAGAAGCCACTTTGAATTTGTCTACTGAGGTGTCTTTGTAGAATGGCCATAAAACCTATTCTTTTATCATAGATTCTACATCTTCCATCCCATATCAAGTGTCAAATAATCTTTTACAATGTCTGATCCCAAATTCTTACTGTTAATCATCTGGTTTCAAAGGAGAAACTATTTTTTTTTATCATAATTGAAGAATTAGTGATCAGATCCCAAAGTGTGTCCTAGAAACCATGAAAAAACTTACTATGTTACATTTAGTATAAAAGAGCCAAGGAAGATTATGTCCATGTTCAAGTTACTCTGAATTTGGACCTTGATAAAGTTTGAAGTAGGGGTAATGGAAAGCATGCTTATATCGATTATGCAGCATACAGATAATTTTAGCGTTTCGTCAATCATGAGAAGCCTTACAAATCAATTTGATTACATGAGTTAGGTAGTTGCTGAAGACTCTGAAGGGTATGCTCTTGCTGTAAGAAATGCCCTTATTGATATGGAGCGAACAAAGCCTGGTTCTTCCGAAGTTCTTATCAGCAGGCTACTTCATCGACTTGGAAGGTATAGCTGCTGAATATTTTGTACTGCTTTTAGTATTTGATTGGATTTGCTTCAGTAATGAACCATTCAATTACGTGGAAATTTTGCAGTTCAAGGGATCCTTCGTTAAAGGAGTTGCAGGAGTTGGCAGTTCACATCTTTTCGAGGAGTGACAAAGCTCTTGATCATAGTACGAATATGATATCTGAAGATGATAGCAGTAAAAAAACACAGAGCAAAGAGTTTCTGTCCAATCCTAATATAAGCCCTCTTGCGAGATTTCTGCTTTCAAGGTGAGCTTAGGTTTTATAGTTCTCATGCTTTTTTTTTCTTTCCTTTTTATTACTATTTCTTTGGTAAGTCAGCTTAAGCATGATATATAAGATGTTGGTCACAGAGGAGCTCTGAAAGACTCCCTTGTGATCTGAAGATTGTGTAACACAGTGTTTCTTTCCTTTTATTGAAAAGAAAAGGAATTTATAAAGGTAATACGGAGTAGGGTAAAAAGATCATTAGGTTAACCTCCTCGCGAGGGAACCTTCTAGCGCAAATTCAGTATTTCCTATTGGTATGACAACTTTTAATGATCTTGCCCCTTCTATATAATTTGTTTGGACTGGGTATGCACTTTACCCGCCTTTTTGTAAGTGGATATCTGCAATATGTGTTAACCAAATTTCACCTCCTAAATGCAGATGGCATGGCCAAGCTTCTCGCGACCTAAATCCGACATAAGAGGAAATTTTGGCCATATTTGCACATAGGCATTTTGTTGTGCTTTTCTTGATACAGTTTATTCTTGATGATGTACATATCGAGTTATGATTTTCTTTTTTCTTTTGGTTCCCTTTTTATCATTAATTTTATTTACACAGCAAATATATCTTTTTCATTTTAAGCTAGCCTTGTGTTGCATTCTTAATATAGATATTTATTGATGTATATGTTTGTGATAGAACTTTATTTCTCTGCACAATAGATGTATCTTTTAACACTTGAGAGGTTATCTTTCTAAATCCAAGAGTTTTGACCTGGATTGCTCGGCAAATTACTAAAGTTTTGAACGTATACGAAGCTCCATGTTGGTACACTGTTGTCCTAAATTCCTAATATTTTTCTTATCTTTTTCATTTTTTTTTAATTATTATTGTTACGCATTCCACTCCTTGCATTTTGTTAGAAGGTCAATATTGTAAGTTCTCTTTCAATTCAAAATGAATGAGAAAATAGAAGTTGAAGTGGTAATTGTGGCATCGCTCATATCATATCTCTGAGATCTAGAGATCAAATTTCATGGAAATTGAGAGTGATTTTCTGTCTCTCCCCTCAAGAGAGTCTCCTCATATTAAAAAAAAAATAATAAAAAAAAAAAAAAAAATAGAAGAAAAAAAAAAAGGGGGGGGGGGGTAATATATCATCTATGGTGAGTAATTGAGTATAGGGACTAAGTTATCTTGTTTAGTACAAAGTATGATTAAGTGAGAGTATGAGAGGGTAAAGTGACAAAGGTGGAACTGGAATTAGCATGGACTACCTTAGAATTTCAAATCCCAACCTTTTAGCTTTATTGTTAGAATCCACCTTCCTTATATACTCCTTATGCGATGCTTTATAATAGTTTTCTTAAACTAGTTTAGGCTTCAAATAAAATTACTCAATAATTTGTTCTTGTCAATTTACACTATGTTTTGATAGAGAGAAATAGCGGAAAGAGTAAAGGAGAACGTATTGTCCTTTGTTTGGGTATTCAATGCAAGGAGGGAAGGGGAGGGAATTGAAAGAATTCATTTTCCTTCCCCCATTTAGTAAACTAAATCTCTCATTGTTGGAGAGATTTGGAAGGGAAATGGAAGCTCACTACCTTCTCCCCTTTCCTTCCCCTTCCTTTCCTTTCACTATTGTTATTTAAACATAGTGTTAGTATACAGTGTTACTAGAAAATCATTGTAACATCAGAACAATACTCTTTAAGGAACAAGTGATTACTGAAATTCAAGTATCTTACCCATTGTTGTCTACTACTTTAATACTTGTTTGTTGTACCTTTATAGATATAATATCGCCACATGTTTTAAAAACACCTAACATAGATAGAATCACAAGACACTCTTTAAACTATCAAGGTTTGTAGTCACTCTCGTTGAACCTACTTGTGCCCACCTCAACGTCCTCGTGGCCGTTATAAGCTCCCTTCAACACTATTTTCCGTTATTGTTGCCAATACGCTATGTGTCCATCAAACACGTCAATTATGCTAAATATATTACAGGCATTTTTTATACTGTCTCTATTTCTTATTATTCGCAATAAAGGAGTATTTTATGTCAGACATAAAAATTTCTTTGTTGCAAATAATAATAAGCGAAGGTATTATATCTTTTGGATACACAATCTCATTTTTCATACCTATTTTTTCATTAAAATTGTCACACAAATATCTCCAACTTATTTCTCTTCTACTTTTCTAATAAAATAATAATAGATACCATATTAGAGAAAATATATATAGGTGAGATGACTCTATAATACTCACATTATATAATCCAAGTCTAAAAGGATAATATTTTTGTGAGCCATGAGAGTATAAAATTTTGATTGTACATTTCATAAACCAAAACACTTGTACAAATGTACACTTTATATTTCATATTTTGACACAACTTACTTTGACTTTTCTAGGTGAATTATTTTTGGGAAAAACATAATTATGTACAATCTTGTTAGAATTGTCTATATATTTTTCAAATATTTTTTTTTTTAATTATTTCCTATTGGTAATTGAAAATATTAATGTATAAAATATAACATTACTAAAGAAATGAGTCAATTAAAATAAAACAAATGAAGTATATAACACGGTTATTGTCATACAATTTGGATTGTAGTACATAACCATATACTCCAATAGTATTCCTAATATAATTGGTTTTCTAAGAATTAGGTAACATCAAGTTGACACTTGAATCCCTAGATTACCTAATAGAGAAGGAAAAGGGACATATACTAATTAAGTAAGTATATCCAAGATCCAAATTAGATGGGCCTCATTAAAAGATGATGACATATCAAACTAACATTTACATATCAACATTTTGTCATACTTTCCCCACCAAATTAAAACGGAGTAGAATCTAGTAAACATCCAAAAACTTTAGAGTACTAATTTGATATTATTTCACATACTATTAATTCTTTTTGCTCTGAATTCCATGCTTATATTATAGAAATAGCCTAGTTGTAAAAATTAATCCAATGGATGCTGCAAATGCCCTGCCTTTTTTCGTACTTCTTTTAATTTTATATTTGTATAAAAATTAGTACATTTTTTCTTTTGAGGAATATAAAAAATAATACATTGAATAAGCAAAATTAAATGAATTTATGTTATCAAAGAAAATTACTGTATTAAATTAATTTATGTTACTAAATAGACTGTGTTTAAGTCAGGAGATAATATAATAAAATAAAGTAATTAGCGAAAAGTGGGGCCCACAAAGATACGGTCGTGAGACCAAGTCCGGTCAATGCGGAGGGAGCAGTCGGAGCACAGCAGTTGAGATTGACGAGCATATTCAGAAATCAAAATTCACCTATCTTTCCCACGCGCTTTCTTTCACACGCTCAAAATAGAAACTTTTAGGTACTGTAGTATTGTATTTTACTCCCTTTCTAGAATTGACTAATTTGTGTATGCTAGGTTGGTGGGTGTAATGTACGCATTAGGCGAATAATTGAGCCGAATCCAATGGAATTGATGATAATAAATACTCTTTCCGTATTTTATTAATTGCTTTATTTATTTATTATTTTTTTTTTTTTTTGCGGTAGTAATTTATTATTTGTTTTATATTTATTTTACAGTTGTATTTTATTACTTATTTCATTTCTTTTTTTTGGAAATCTTTCATAATATTTTACAAATCTTCTCTCCTAGTGGACCCAACTATCATACTCCCTCCTTATTTTAATTAAGTGTTGCACTTACTAAATTCGGTCGTGTTTTAATAATTGTTACACTTCCTTTTTGGCAAAAAACTATATATAAATATTATATTTCTCTCCTTTTATGATTCCTACCTAAACTCACTACTACTTATTTTATTAAATATTTTCTTTCACATTCATTACTTTTCAATAAACTATTAACCCCACTATCTTTCTTTTATATTTTTTTTATACTTCAACTACTCTAATTACCTCTTATTTTAATTAAGTCAATTAAATTGCCTAAAATTATGTACTTGTCAAACTGTAACACTTATTAAAACACGGAGGGAGTACTTTTATATTTCTATATTTTCTCTCTCCCAACTATGAGTATCATACTTTATTTTTTCACCAACCCCACTATTTCTCATATAACTCCGCGCGTGGAGAAATGAAGAAGTAATAAAATATGGATGAGGTAACAAGGAGAGACAAGCTTTATAATGGTCCAATGGTTGGTGTGGAACTGTGAAACTTGGTGAGGAGGTGACAGGTGCGTAGAGGTGTTAAAGATTAATCAGATTCAAGAACTTGATATAGATCGATAATAACTCATATTTGACTCGAACCTGATTAACAATTACTCTAATTGAACTCTTTCTGATATTAATTGACAATTATTTTGATCCGATACTCGATGACATGTACGTGCATCAAACCTAATATGAATCAGCATATGATTTGAATTAACTTGACACTGATTCAAACCTTATATGCCACTCAACTTGATTAATTACTAAAATTGTTTATACTATAACACAGCTTGTTATTAGCTTGGCCGTGGTGACTTGAAATTATTGCAACCTGACTTTAACATGAAATTAAAATTGTTGATCCTTCATTGCTAGCTAGCATGCTTTCTTTAGACAATCGTCTAGTATTGAAGTTACAGTCGTTCAAATGAGTTAGAACTTAAAAGATTTTGATAAACTACAAAACATAGATAATTTTGATCGGAAGATTGGATTGGAACAAGTAGTCATAATTATTTAAGAAATATAAATACTTTGTATATGCTTATAGATATGCATGTTGTACACAGTACACATGAACAACTTCTTAGCTTAGTTTTCTTCAAATAAGATTTTATGATTTAGAATTCGACTCGACGTGATTGTTATATGATCAAATCTAAATTTGAATGGAGTTGACAATGATACGAATTTTACCTGAGCCAAGAATGGATCTACCTTTTTTTTTTTTGAAGAAATGGATCTACCTTATTATGATCTAACTTAATCTAAACTTGAACAAAATTTTACTTGACTTGATCGAAATTGACACGACTCAGTAATAATCTAATTCAAAAATGACTCGAACTCAATATATGCTATAAACTCAACTTAAACCCTGTTCTTTTGAGCTTCTAGGCAGAGTAGAGCATGGGTCAGCAGAGCAGAGCATATATTATTATTATTATTATTATTATTATTATTATTATTATTATTATTATTATTATTATTATTATTATTATCATCGCATTATTATTATTATTATTATTATTATTATTATTATTATTATTATTATTATTATTATTATTATCATCATCGCATTATTATTATTATTATTATTATTATTATTATTATCATCACATTATTATTATTATTATTATTATTATTATTATTATTATTATTATTATAACAAAAACCTATAAAGTCAAACGATTTACAAGAAATTAGTGGGGAGCCGAGATACAATCTGGGCCCCCAACCCCTTAGCTATAGCGAACTCAATCCTGTTAAAGATGTGAGCAGCCGCACGACCACCAATATCCTGAGTCCTAGCGAACGCCTGAACCCGCTTCAGCAATGCAACAACATCCTTCTCTAATTCCCCCAATGAAGAAAAAGAGAAAGGAAGAAAACCATAGCCAATACCCCTGCAACGCGCCCCATACTTGTCTCGCTTTCGCTGAGCCGCAGCCGACACAACACGACCAGGAACGAAGTCAAACAACCCAGATTGAGTCAATGGAGAAGATCCCGTCAAGTCAACACATACATCTAGGCCTCTATCCCAGGAGTAAAGCAACACATCTGTTGGGCGAAGAGCCCTTCGTTCCCTCCAGTCAACCCAACGTTGACCTCCTTC